ACACCACGGGACACCACGTGACACCTCGGGGCACCACATCGATCTCACTATCGATCTCGCTATCGATCGCACTCAACGGGACACCAAAAGACACCACGGACACCGCTAGTGCCACCGCCGAACGGAGGAGAACCATTTGTCTTGACTTCGCCCCAGCAACGGCGGACACCACGGGACACCGAGGGACACCGCTAGGGCCACCGCTGGACGGAGGACAACCATTTGTCTTGACTTCGCCCTAGCAACGGCGGACACCACGGGACATCGCGGGAGACCGCTAGGGCCACCGCCGGACGGAGGATAATCATTTGTCCTGACTTCGCCCTAGCAACGGCGGGTTCATGTCTCTCGCGCGCCCACGCAGCTTCGCCTCGCCCGCACGCACGACACGAACGAAACGAAACGATGTCCCGTTTGGGGGTCCCCCTTCCACTGCCATCTCAGCCCCCAACCTCCGATTAGCAATCGTATTCTCATTCGTTGTAGCATTCTGACTACTACTGTGATCTTTCGTAGTCCTCTTTCCCCCATCCCATGCGACAGCTGAAATCATGATGCATGCACGCCCATGAGATGCACATCCAGGTGCAGACCAGCCAGGAGGTGAGATCGAGCCCCAAGAGAGTCTCGGGGGATCCTTCCGATGACCACACTCGGGCTCTGTCACAAGAAGGGCGGTCTTCTGACATTTCTAGCCTTTTTGTCTCCTCTCGTCGTCCCCCCGGCTGCTCATCGTCGAACTCTTCGGCGCCTGAGCTTCCCTTCTTACTCTTGGCCGCCCCCCCCTCCTCTCTTTGCCTGCCGGCCAAATCGATAGTTAGTGCCCCTTTCTAGCTTCTCCGCCTCGCCGCCGACGAAATAATTATCCCCTCTCGTCGGCCTCTTGGAGCTCTCTTGTGCCACCTTGGGAGTCCACCAGGCCGTCTCGGGGCGCTCCTGGACCGTCGGGCGCCTTCGGGACACGTCTTGGAGCACCTAGGTGCCGTGTTGGGCGGAGGAGGAGGAGGAGGAGAAGGAGAAGGAGGAGGAGGAGGAGGAGGAGGAGAAGGAGGAGAAGGAGTAGGAGGAGAACGAGGAGGAGGAGAAGGAGGAGGAGGGGGAGGAGAAGGAGGAAGATGAGAAGGAGAAGGAGGAGGAGGAGAAGGAGGGGGGGAAGAAGAGAAGGAGGAGGAGAAGGAGGAGGGACCTCTTGGGTCATGTAAGGCTGTCGTGGGGCTCTTTGGCCCCACTGGGGTCCTCTTGGGCTGTCTCTTGGCTGTCTTAGGGGCCAGCTTGAGGGCCTCCTTGGCGGTTCTCGGGACGATCTTCGGAGCCTCTTGGCCCGCCTTGGGCTGTCGGCCGGCTTCTCGCCTGGACAGGCGAGATGTTTTAGCCAAGGAGAATCAATTTCGTATGTATCTTGTGGCCTTCCTGGGGGTCCTCAATCCTAAATTCCTCTTAGGCCATCTTGGTGGCCTCTTTGGCAATCTCTTGCCGCCCTGGCGCCCTGTTGGACCGCACTGGAGGCACACTGGAGCCAACTGGGAGTCCCTTGCAGTCCGTATTGGGACGCACGTCGAGGGACGAGATTGGGGAGGATTGTTGGGAGCGTTTGGCAGGCTTTTGCGGGGCGGGGGAGGCGGGCAGGCGGTCGCGCGGTCGGCCGGCCGCAATAATCCAGTACGACATCGCACTGGCACGTACGTGCGACATCACATTGGCGCGTATGATCATCAAAGTGTCCTCTCCTCCCCTCATCAGTTGCGGCGGGGAGATCTGGATGATTTGCATGCTTTGCCCGCGGGGGGGGGGGACTGGCCGCCATGGTTAGATTCGCTTCGAAATCATAGTCAGAACGTGTTCCCCAGGCTGCGAGTTGATATAATTCGGACGAGAAGGGGGAATCCAACTGTTCCCCAACCTCCAGAGCAGGGATTCCGATCTCTATGTCGGAGGTTTTCAATCCATATTTTGGGAGCCTGCCGATCAGGAGAATCGAGGCCTCCTCCTGTCCTTTCCCCCTCGCCCTTTCCTCTTCTTCCTTCCCGAGGGATTGGTGATGCCAGGATGCGGCAAAGAGGGGAGGGGCAATAGAGACACGGGCTGAAAGGGGAGGGGAGGAAGGAGTGGAAGAAAGCGGGAGCTCGTGGGCGGGAGTGGAGGGGAGCGAGTGGGCGGGAGCGAAGCTAGGTGCGATCGCGCCACATCGGTCACATTACAGTCGGGGCGCTGAGGAAGGAACCCTTTTCGTTGGGGAGGGGCTCGGTGTTCCTTAGTTGTGTTGTAGTTCGCCTTTGGTTTTGCTTAGGGCTTCGATGGGAAATCGAAGTTTAACTTATGGGAAAACGGGGCCTCGTTCCTTATTTAGGGTTCCTTAGGTCAACGCCCCGACTGTACCCTTCCGTCATATCCCTTCCCATCGCGCGGAGTTGTCCTTTATGTATCCGCCAGCGGGTGTCATAGTGGACCTGGAGCACCCAAAAGGACCCCCCTTTTTTTATCGTGCGATGCGCAATGTGACAGGGGAGCTTTGCATGTGTGAACACTCACGAGGAAGGAGGAGGACGAGCAGGAACTGCATCAGCAGCACGAGCGGGAGGAACGGGAGGAGTAGCAGGCAGCAGGGGAAGCCATGAGAGTCGCAGTGGAGGGGGGCGACGACGCCGAGGAGCCACCACTCGGATCCAGGGTTGCCGCCTGCTGTGCACGACGGGAGCACGGCGAGGGTCCTGAAAGGAGGCCAGCGCTGCAGCGGGGGCGCCATTTCTCATGGCGCTAACTTCGCAGAGCGGATCTCGTTCGGAAAATTAGGGGACGGGCCTGGACTGTCCTGGAGAACTTCGTTCTGGATTTCGATCTGAGTTTCGCGCGGGTGTTTTGGCCAACAGTGAAGACTACAACAACTTCACGTGAACATCATTTCGTTTTTCGTGTGCACTGACAGGAATCTACGCACAAATCCGCTGCAGCACGTTTGCAAGGTCGGCGCAGAACATTTCGCAAGGACGGAAAAGGCTCACGTTCTGATCGGAAAAGCACATCAACAGATGATGCTAATCCATGGGTCGCTCTATGTTTGCGTGCCTCCGACACTCGGATCCAGAGGTGTCGCCGGCGGTGCACGACAGAAGCACGGCGAGGGTCCTGAAAGGAGGCCCGTGTTGCAGCGGGAACGCCATTTTTCATAGCGCTAACTTCGCAGAGCAGATCTCGTTCGGAAAACTAGGGGACGGGCCCGGACTGTCCTGGAGAATCTCGTTCCGGATTTCGATGTGACTTTCGTGCGGGTGTTTTGGTCAGCAATGAAGACTACAACAACTTCACGTGAACATCATTTCGTTTTTCGTGTGCACTGACAGGAATCTACGCAACAAATCCGCTGCAGCACGTCTGCAAGGTCGGTGCATAGCATTTCGCAAGGACGGACAAGGCGCAGGTTCTGATCGGAAAAGCACTGCAAAAGATGATGTCAATCCATGGATCGCTCCACGTTTGCGTGCCTCCGACACTCGGATCCAGAGGTGTCGCCTGCGGTGCACGACGGGAGAACGGCGAGGATGCCAAAAGGAGGCCAGCGCTGCAGCGGGAACGCCATGTTTGCGAGGACGGAACAAAGGCTCAGCTCGACAGAGCACACGAGAGCAAGGACTCGGCAGCGTCATCCTGTGGAACAGCCTGCACGCGGTGGGGGGCCTGCCGCTCTCGGGCCATCCTTTCGGGGGCGAGGGGCGAGACCAGCATCCCCGTGGAGCCGTTGCAGAGGGGAGGGAGGGGGCGGGAGTAGAGGGGAGGGGCGGGAGGAGCGGGCGGGAGTGGAGGGGAGGGGGGGGGGGTAAGTGGCACAAGGGCAGGGCAGATGGTGGCCAGAGTGTGTGTAGAGTGGGGCGCCGCTGGCGCGAGGGGTCACAACAGCTCCAGCTTTGGAGGTGCACGGTCAGCACGCCTAGTAAGGACGCGCGCCTTCATCCGGTGCCCTTGTGTCCTTGCCTCTGCGGCCCGTCCTTTGCCGTTTTCACTGGTCGCCCGCCGCCCAGGAGATCCCAACCTCGGACTCCAAGGGTCTTGCGTCCTCACCACTCGTCTTGACAGTGGGGGCCCATGCCAAGAAACATCCTGCTTGCCACCAGGGTGCCCTGGCTTTCTTGAAGCTCATGCTGTGGAAGGCGTAACGATCCCTCACAAAAAATCCCTGGGCGTCCTGGGGTCTCAGGGTGGGGCTTCTTGTGGAAGGTCTGTTTGGTCGTGCCCCTACTGCAATCCACGTTTTGATTGTACCCCTTCCCAGACATGCGATGTCTTGATATTTTCAATGCGGTGCCCCTGGAAGTCCCGACCCTCTCCCCGGGACTGGTTCTTCATCCTGAGTCTGTTTTTTGATGGCCCCGAGGACCCGCGAGGGCTCCCCGAGGCCGAAAATTTGCCAAAACTCCCCGTCCCGATTTTTTTTTGTTTTTCGGGGTTGGATAGACCTCCTACCCTGACGCGTCGATTAGTGACTTGGCCGTTTTCGGTTCGCGAGAGGGCGTCGCGGCCGTCATTTTTGCGGGTCCAGGACCGTCGGTTTCGGTCCCAGGCCGTTTCCACGAAGGGGAGGTTTGCTAAAGGGAGGTGTGTCCACCGCCGAGAACTTCCCTGTCCCGATGGTCTGTTTTGTGTTGCGTGTTCTTTTCACGGCACGATCCTGTCTGGGACGGTTGCCCTCGCATGCGTGGCCGCCTCCGCCCGCGGACTGCCTCTCTCTTGCGCCCGTGGGGGGGGGGGCCGGCTTCTCTGTGCTCCAGGGCGCGCCCTCCTGGGCCGTCGGCGAGGAGGGGCTTCCCGGGGGTCCCTTTGGGGTAAGTCGGGCCTGTCCCTCTACTGGGGGGGGGGGATATTCAAAAAGAGTCAAAACATAGTCAGGGGACTATTGTTGGAGTATGTTTTGACCATTTGGGGGTATTTTGGGGATAATTTTTCTTCGGGAATCCCCCTGTAGGGGGACAGGCCCGACTGAACCTTTGGGCGGAAAGCGCTGGGGGGAG